CCCTCTCCACAGTATGTCTCGCGCCAACTCGAGAAAGCCGTGATTGCGCACTTCCATGAGTGGCAGGCCGGTCTCGCTATTCCTCTCTGTCGCAAACGCCATGTCGACGTCACCACGGTGTTCACGACCCACGCGACTCTTCTCGGCCGGTACTTGTGCGCAGGCTCCGTGGACTTCTACAACAACCTGCAATACTTTGACGTTGATCACGAGGCCGGAAAGCGTGGTATCTACCACAGATACTGCATCGAGCGCTCTTCTGCGCACTGTGCGGATGTGTTCACGACTGTCTCACACATCACGGCATACGAGAGCGAGCACTTGCTGAAGCGGAAGCCCGATGGCGTTCTCCCGAACGGTCTCAATGTAGTCAAGTTCCAGGCAATGCACGAGTTCCAGAACCTGCACTCGACAGCAAAGGCCAAGATCAACGACTTTATCCGTGGGCATTTCTACGGCCACTACGACTTCGACCTCGACAACACGTTATACGTACGCACCTTGTCACTGGTGCATTGCACTCGCTGACGATACAGCTAGATGTTCACCGCTGGTCGATACGAGTACCGCAACAAGGGTGTTGACATGTTCATTGAGTCGCTAGCGCGTATGTTGGCCCAGATCACCTTCTCAGTCAGGCGCTCATCGACGTCATTCTAGGCCTGAACTACCGCCTGAAGAAGTCTGGCTCAAAGGTCACGGTTGTTGCGTTCATCATCATGCCCGCGGCCACGCACTCGTACACCATCGACGCGTTGAAGGGCCAGGCTGTCACCAAGCAGCTTCGGGATACGGTCACTGAGATCCAGAACCGCATTGGTGCGCGCCTCTTCGAGCATGCCATGAGCTCCAACGGGTGGGTCACGCTTTCGTTTCTTCTTGCTGATTTTTGTCGATTGAATCCATGATATTCAGTGAGCATGCAACCCTGCCAACACCGGACGACCTCCTGTCCGAGGAGGACAAGGTTCTGCTGAAGCGGCGCATTTTCGCCCTCAAGCGGAACGCCCTTCCACCGGTGACGACGCACAACATGGCCGACGATCCGAATGACCCTATCCTCAACCAGATCCGTCGGGTGCAGCTCTTCAACGCATCATCAGACCGTGTCAAGGTCGTGTTCCACCCTGACTTCTTGAACAGCAATAACCCGATCCTGGGCATGGACTACGAGGAGTTCGTCCGTGGATGCCATCTGGGCGTCTTCCCGAGTTACTACGAGCCATGGGGCTACACTCCTGCCGAGTGCACGGTCGTAAGTCTCCATCCTGAAGTCTTATTTAGTTGTCTTGCATGACGAACTTTCTGGACAGATGGGGATCCCCTCTGTAACGACGAACCTGTCCGGGTTTGGGTGCTTCTTGCAAGATCTGATCGAGCGTCCGCAAGACGAGGGCTGCTACATCGTCGACCGGCGCTCGCAGTCCGTCGAGGACTCCGTCAACCAGCTTACGGACTACATGTTCTCGTTCTGCGCGAAGACTCGCAGGCAGCGTATCAACCAGCGCAACCGCGTCGAGCGTCTCAGCCCGCTGCTCGACTGGAAAAACTTGGGCATCGAGTACTCGAAGGCGCGGCAACTCGCCCTTCGCCGTGCTTACCCCGACGCGTTCTACGGTCCCAACGGCGAAGTTGAGGACGAAGAGCTCGACTTTGGCATGGAGCGGATGACGCTGCCCATCAGCGTGCCTGCGAGCCCGCGGTACAAGATGTCGGGCATTGCAACCCCAGGAGACATTGGCACGCTCACCGAGGAGGTACGTTTCAATATTTTTCTATCTGGCTCGCGAGCTTTCCTGACGCTCCTGGTGACAGATGCAAGCTCTCGGCACGAGCGACTACCGCGGCTACCAGTGGCCGTCACAGGACGACGAGGAGGAGGGCTACCCCTTCCCGCTCGTGATGAAGGTCCGTTCGCGTGCGGGCTCTGTCATGTCCGGGGCGAGCACGCCTGGCGGTGGACGGTCGGGGAGCCTGAGCGAGGGCGACTTGCGCAAGGCGGACGCGGCGCTCAGCCACGTCACCGAGAACCATGTGAACGGTGTCAACGGCCACTAGCGACTACGATCGGAAACGGCTTCTGCATACCGTCGGAGAGGAGGAGGCAGAGCGGGCGGGCTCGACAAAGACAAGGGGCAAGCGTGGCTGGGAGTAGAACGCGTTACAAGATGCGCGCAGGGCTTGTTTTATGAATGGTGAAGACCGACGGACTTGGTCTCTCTTTCTCTCACTCTCACTCTCACTCTCTAAAATTTCTTGTGGATGGAGGGGAGGGGTTCGTACGTGTGTTGTGTCGTAGTACTTACTGCAATATCCGCTGTACGTTTCTAGTCGTATGTTGTGTGTTGGCTGCTGTAATCAATCGACATGTCATCTTGCGCGTAGTCATGCGTTCACTCCATATGTTCCTCTATGATTTCTGTGCTCGATGATCTGGCAACCCTGGTCCAGTTCGAATGATGCCACTCAGTAGACCGGTCTGGGGCGCTCAGGTTACCATATCCGGACATTTGCTGTCCAGCGCTTGCACGAGTCTGTACTTGCTCCCGGACCACGACCAGTCCCTCGACGGTAGCTGCGGTATGTACAACAGCTGCAGTCCATATGCTTTAGTTTAGTGTGAAACTGACCGTTTCTATGCAGCAAAATGTTCGCCAGCTTCAGGAGTGCAGCGACACGGTTCGCCTTCCGTCCGCCCGTCGCAGTGCACGCGCGAAGACTAGCCACGGAGAGCACACCCTCCTCCCTCCCCGGCGCAGAGAACGCAGTGCTCTCTACCTTAAAACTGCCCACATCCACACCCGCGGCCGCCAACGCCTCCACCTCCACCTCCACCTCCGTCCTCCCCCTCGCCGCCGCAGAGCCCACGGCGATCCACATCCCCCCCGCCGAGGACCCGCTCCTGCACCTGTTCACGTCGATGCTCATGCGGCACGGCAAGCGGCAGCAAGCTTCGCGCGTAACAACCAAGATGCTGCTGCACATCCACGCGTTCACGCAGGCGCCGCCGCTGCCGATCCTGCGGCAGGCGGTCGTCGCGGCGGGCCCGCTGCTGCGCTGCCGGCAGTTCAAGCGCGCGGCGAAGCAGTTCGTGTTCCCGAACCCGCTGAGCGAGCGGCAGCGCGCGTGGCAGGCGGTCAAGTGGATCGTCGAGGAGAGCAGGAGGCGCCGCGGGGGCAGGCACGATGCGGAGCGCCTCGCGAGGGAGGTCGTTGGCATCGTGCGGGGCGACAGCGAGGTGTTGAAGAAGAAGGAGGCCGTGCATAAGTTGGCGGTGTTGCATAGGTGCGTGCTTTTATTGGTGGTTTTTTTTTGTGTGTGAGGGAGATGGGCTGAGCAGGGTGTTGATTTTGCAGAGGAAATGTCGTCCGGCCGCCGAGGGTGCCCAAGTCGAACAGGGGATGAGTGTGTTCCCTGCTGTCTGGTACTTGTACATCTCACGCTTAATCTCATGTTGGTTGCTCTACTCGTGCAATGGGAGCATGCTTCTCGAGTGAGAGTCTAAGGTGAGTCGTGCAAGTTAAAGGTGGATGTGGATGGTTCTGCGAGGATCTGTCAAACCATTCAGTCCATGTAGTTACGTGGCAATACGTGCTTCGCAACATTCGAGAGACCGCTGCGTATGCCGCAGTCAGAAAGTGAGAGATACCCGCTGGTCGCAAAGAGATTGCACAGCAGACTGAGCAGCGTACAACTCCGATATCATAGCTCGACGGGTATGTACAGTACACACAACGCGCTTCATACGCAACGCGAACACAGTAAACACGACCACGTACTCGTACACCGTACAACAGAAGCATCACAAGTCCGCCAGCGACCGCGTCTCACAGCCCTTCTAGCACGGTTGGGGCAGACGCGGCAGCTAGTCCTCCCAGTCGTCGTCGTCGTCATCGCGCTTTCGCCGCGCGCGACCGCGCCCGTTGCGGGCGTTGTTGCCCCCGTCGTAGTCGTCCTCGTCTTCCGCGTCCATCTCGCGGTCCTCGTCCTGCTCCCTGTCCTCTTCCTCGTCCCTCTCCCTGTCCTTGTCCTTATCCTTGTCCTTGTCCTTGGGCGCGGCCTTCCGCCGCCTGCGCTTCGGCGCGGGCTTGTCTGCGTCCGCGTCTGCGTCCTCGTCACGGTCCTTGGGGGTCCTGCCCTTGCCCTTGCCGCGTTTCTTGCCGCGGCCCTCGGCGGCCTCGGCTTCGATGTCGATTGTCCCGCCCGCGGAGGGGTCGGGCACGGCCTGGACGATCTCTTTGAGAAAGTCGAGCATGTCGACGGTCTCGATGGCGTGCTTTCTGTGTGCGGGGTGGGGGGAATAGTTAGCGGGAACATTTGGCGCGAGCACGGGGCGGAGAGCGGACGAGTAGCGAGCAAACGCAAACACGACCGAAGGAAATCGGGGGAACAGGGCACGAGTTGACAACGTACAGATGGTATGCCTCGACGCGCTTGGACCCGCGCTCGACGGTGACGTTGCTCGCCTCCTCCACGATCATGGCGAGGAAGAGTTCGAGCGCCTTGGCTGCGAGAGGGCGCGTCAGAAGAGAGAACCGGGACGGACGCGAGGGAGCGGGACACGCACAGATGACGACGGGGGTGGCCTGGGCGACCTTGCCGACCTCCTCGTCCTTCTGCATGATGCGCTTTATGCGCGCCTGCGGAGGCGGCCGGGTGCCGAGCGAGATCGTGATTGAGGGAGGCGGCAGGGAATGGTTGTTGAGGTGCGCGGGGCATTCATGCGGGCCAGACGAAGGGCTGTTTGGTGAGTGTGTGGGACGGGCAGGGAAGGAGGAGCGGGGCGTACGACGGGGAACTTGGTCGCTTTGTTCTTGTTCTTCATTGTCGTGTGTCGCGCGTGTGGAGAAAGGCTGAGGCGCGGAGGGAGACTTGGAGGACTTGGCTTGGAGGGAGAGCTACTGAGCCACCCGCACCCCGTCCTATTAAATAAGTACTCACACTGCTCCTGCATGCTGTTTGCAACGTGCTATATTTTATAAACCAGGTTAAATGAGCATACGCCGATGGTGAAGTGGTTATCATGCTTGCCTTCCACTACAGGTAGCAAGCGGCACGGGTTCGATTCCCGTTCGGCGTATATCATGTGGATAGTGGTGTTTTTGTTCTCATGCACTCTCCAGAACCAGAAATTAGGGTCAAGGCGACTTTGGCTCGACACGCGCCTTAGCCCGTCGATTGTTTTCCGCCCTGCACTCCAACATGCTCATGTCCAACTTCACCAGCCTCACAACTCAAACCGGTCGCAAGATGCACTCGATGAAGCGAAGAAAGCTCGCTCATCCTCCCCCACCAACACTTACCGTTGCAAAGCCGGACTCTCCGTTCACCTCTGCTCCGAACCACCAGAAGTCACCACCAATATGCGCCTCTTGCCACCGGGCCTTCTTCGGGGCGAAGCAGAGTCAGTTACTTGAGTGCGCACGGTGCGTTCAGGATCATGGTGGCAGCGGTGATTTTGTGCACGACTTATCCCTGCATGCGTAGGTGCCATGCGGCCACATGTGTTATATGCTCAAGAACGTGCAACGGCTGCCTGTCCGCTACATCCTCGGCCTTCACTCAAACACCGTATGCAGTCGAACGGTGGTCGATGTCGATGACAGTGCCATCGCAGATACCGATGACTTCCTCCTCGCGGCGGCCTGCCCTCGCGCTGCACACGAACACGGCGCTTGGGTCCGTGCCACCTCCGGTTGCGGGCAAGAGGAGGAAGGTGAGAGATCGCGATGGTGCGGATGATGAACGTGGAGAAGAGAGGGAGCGAGATTCCGACAAGGAGCAGGAGAAAGGGCAGGAGGATGGGGTGCTGCCGGGGTGTGGGAGAACCGTGTGTCGAAGTTGTGCGTTTGAGACTCCCGAAAGGTGCGTGCTGCGTGTCTGTTCCGGCGATGCTTTGGGGCGTGGCTGACCGTCTGCGTGGTGGTTGGTTTGTTTCTGCTTGACGAACGTTGGGATGCTGACACTCACAGGGAGCTCACGACATGTTATGATTGCGCGGCGCGGCTGCTGGGACAAGACGTACCACCGGCCTGAACCCCCCAGAGGTGATGTCTCCCTCAAGATGTCAACCCACGGACCTCACCATTTCCCAATATCTATCTCTATCACTCAGGCCGGAACCCGGGCTGCCCTATCCATCCCAGTCTTCCGTTAAACTAATGCTCTTACCCGTTTACCCTATGTATACCATAATCTATACCTGCTACACTCGCATCCCCTCGTCACTGCTCCATCTTTCCTCTCGCATCCACAGCTGTTGCTATCGCTGACTCCGTACGGTACCTATGTAATACCATTATACTCTCCCTCCCGATCGACGGCCAAATCGGCGAATATACAGCAGCAACTGCATGTCTACAAAGGCTCACTCGCATTGCAGCTCCCCTGGCGAATTGACGCATGTCATCCAGGCTCCAGCGCTCCAGCACTCGAGCTGAGGTCGAGACACGCGTCGCGTTACGCGCGTCACGTGGACGTGACAAACGCGACACCTCTTCAGGCTCGCTATTCGGCTTGCCCTTCTCTTCCCAACTTGAACTCGAAACTCGAACGTCGTCGGTCCCATCACCATCATATCCGCCGTTGCGCAGACATGGATTCCAGGAACGCCGTCGCGGATGCCGCCAAGGACGAGGAGGTCAACGTCGCAGGAGGCGGGGGTACGTGATTTAGCAGAGCCAAGTACAGCCGGTCTCCTATCTGACGTTTCGGGGGCTCCAGGAATGGGACCTATCCTCACCCAACTGCAGCAGATCACGGCGAGGATCGATGACCTGACTACGAAGGTTGACCAGACGCGCGAGCTTGCCGTTAAGACCTATGCCAGGGTAGTCAGAGTACGCCATCCGAGCCATGCTATGCATATTGTTGCTGCTGATGAATCGACTTCGATGCACAGCACGACAACGCTGAAGTACATGACGACGACGAGCTCGAGGAGGTGCCGTTCCTCGATGGTTCGTGGCCATGGGAGAATGAATTTGTTGGTCCCCAGAACACGGTCGGTACATCTAGATGTTCTCTGTGTTTATGCGGATCGTGTTCGAAACGGGCCACGGCTGATGCGATGCATTCAGCAGGTCAAACTGCCAAGGCGCTCGTCTCTCCAGTCTGTCCACGACTTGACTGAGCAGGAAGCGTACGCGTACTTCAAGGGTTACTATGGTCCTGGTGTTCCGCTTCCAGACGTGGAAACGCGCAAGCTCAGGATCCTGAATGCCCTCGGGCGTTACGACGACGACTTGTGACTTGTGATGGTCCCGTCAACCCGTTACCCAGTTCGTTCCTTGACACTTGCGTTGTCTGTATAGTATGTGACAGTATGTTCGCGATTCGTTCGATGTGGTTCTTCCTGTATCTTCCTGTATCAATAACCAAGCGCATATAGTCACCTTGACGATGTAGATGGTCTGCATTGCATTGGCGTACCCCCCGACTCGGATTCCTCGTCGCACTGGTTCGTGTCGGTCGGCACGGAGCTTTGCATGATTTATCTTCTCGATTCAAGAGAACCCGCTGAGTCGGACGATCGTCATAACCGCATACAGCCTCGATCGACGAGACCAAAGAGGACGACGAACACGAATGCAAAGGTAGCTTCCCCTTGTCTATGTTCGATCTGGATTACCCTTCGCCACGTCCCCTTGGAACTGGCAGAAGTCTCTGCCTCGGTGGGCAGGACATCTCCTCGGGTGACCGCGGGGTCGCGGGGTCGCAGGATCGCCGTTCAATCCCGACAAGAACTGCGACAATTTGAACAGCGCGTTCGTACGCGATTGCTTCACTGCCCGCGAGTACACAACCTGACACCACAGTGTGACCTTCGCAGGAGGGAGAGCGCAGCGCCATACTCCTCCGAGGTCGAACACCTTCCGGCGACCGGTGTACCGAGAACCCGCGTGCACACGTATGTATGTCGACCGCTCCCGAGGTAACGTCGGGCTGGACGTGGACGGGCGGTATGATGCGTCCGGGGGGGGCGAGTTGGGTTTACGGACGTCGTGGCTGCAGTAGCCTATACGCGGGGCAGGCGGGCCCGGCGCGGGGAGGAGGGCAGCGACTCGGAGGCTGGAGCATGGTCATTGGTCGCGCCCCCGAATGACCAGCTAGCTGCTGAGGAAACACTGACCGGAGGGATGGGTGCAATCCGGGGTGCGGGACTGTCGAGTTCCCGACGGCCGAGGGGTGGGACGCGGTGGGTGATCGTGTTTGTGTGGTTGGTCATGTGTTGGGGTGGGATGGTGTGCTGATGTATGTGCAGATCTGTCGTAGGTCACTGGTCCGAGCCTTGGGCAGCCGGATTATGACCGCCTCGCGGGCTGTGGTGATCGGAGAGCGGGAGGGAGTGTGAATGTAATTTGAGCGACGTATGCTCGTGAATTCGAAAAAGCTGACCTGCCACCTTCTTGTCTGCCCAAGGGTCCGCTAATTGCTGCCGCACGGTAGCATTTCGCAGCTGTGCAAGAGGGTGCACTCTCGTACACTGATCGAGGACGCAGACGGGATGGTGTACAACCCAAGCTGCGCGACGCAGTGCGACCGACATGTACCTGGAGTTCGAAGTCGTCATCAGCATCAAGCAAGGTGTTGACACCGGTTGTGTCCCGATACATGTCCGTCGCATAGCTGTGTATACGGAATACATAGCTTCAGTTGATCTCCGTACACGCGACGTCAATATGCACTCTGCACCTCACCGGGTGAACAAGGCAATTGCAGTAGGACATGACATGCACAGGGTACGTGAACTGCCTTGACTGTACCCACTAGCCTCCCGTGTGACTATCGGGCCTGAGAATCCCAGCTTCGGGCGGTGAGCCCAGCGGGCATCTCTGACTATCTCTGACTATCTCTGATGACCAGGCCACAGAAGCGCAAACATCCATCAACATCTGACATGTCGGACAAGATGTGCCTAGCTTGTAGCTTGTAGCTGGGACGGCCTTGACAGTACTGACAGGTACTCACCTTCTGTAGGCTACCGGGCCTTCGTGAGTCGCGACGGCTGCAATACGGTGGCTACCGCGTTATCTCGGTCGTTCGCACAACCGGGCGGGCGTCCGCGTGGTATGCAGTATTACTACCGCCTCTCAAAGTCCGCGACATTCGAGGCTCAACGTGCGACGGCGATGAGATGTATATATACTGTGATCATCCGGTGAGTACTGCAGCAACGATAGGATGTGGGTGAATGAGGCCGACCGGATTACTCACGCTGTCGATAAGTTTTGAGGGAGAGGGCGTACACTGGCAGTTGGTGTCCGGAAGATCGTATGGTAAGATGACCTCGGGGTTCCCGGAATGCGCTACACTGCGTCGAGGCACTTTGTGCGGGACAGATGACGTTCGCCTTCCAATGGCTTGTGCGTCTGTAAATACGTTGCCAGGGTCTGCAGTTCCAGCGTCGAAGCATGTGTTCTGGTGCTCTATTGGCCTAGGGATGAGATAGATGTGCACAAGCGGGCCGTGTTGTCATAGGCATCCGCAACATACTTTGGTCCCGTGCGCTGCCTGTTGTTCTTCCGGCATCTATTGCTACTGCGCAGTGCGAGGTATGAGATGCCGCGTTGCGAACATATTCGAGTATACGCACACACCTTGAGCTAAGTATAACGGCGTCGGTCTACATCCTCCGGAGGTCTGTGATGTAGATCCATTCAGGTTGGTCTGCCGGTGATAGCGTCAGTAAATCTGTAGCAGCTTTGAAGTCGGCTCACGACAAGCTGTGGTTGGAGGATCTGAAACGCAGCGATCGGCGCTTTGCTGTGCAGCAGCCACAACGGCCTCTTGCACGAACGACGATCGCGACGTCGTCCATTCCCAAGCTCAACGCCGACCTCCAGATGCCGCAAACTCGCCAATGGGCCAGAGACGTGCGAAGAGAGGGACACGAAGTCTAGACGGGTGCCTGAGCGAGTACGGTGGGTAGCAACGGATGTATGATTTCATTTTCGTTGTCCGACCTCCGAGCCTTTTTCTCACAGCTCTCCGTGCGATCAGGTTGCCATCCTCCCCCACCGTCGCGCTGTCTTTGATGTTCATCCCACTGATGGATGGTCGTGTTCATGTTATCTTTAT